ATTTTACCAACTGAAAGACCTTACTTGGTCAATAACACTCGTATTATTGCCTCCAGTCAAATCAGGGGAGGATAATAAATAATCTTAAAATTCTATTTCAATTCAAACACATCACAACATTCTAACAAATAACTTATTATGACTATAAAAGCACTCGTCTTATTTCCCATCTAATTGTAATTGGTTAATAACACTCGTAATATTAATCCTGAATGTACATTATCTCAATATCTAATCGATTCCACACATGTATATAAATGAAGAAAAAAGTTGTGTGAGTAACTTGATATGATTATGAGTGGCAATAGTTTGTGCTCGAAATGTCATCAGTTAATATAACTGTACAACATTGTGTGTGATTTATCAAAATAAAATCTTATCCATAATGGAGTAACCTTACTCCAGTTGATGAAGACAAGAAGAGCTGGTTCAAATCTAAGATGGTCGATGTTACAAATCAATACCTCATTTCACTAACGTCATATTCCAAACTCGAAAACCATTGAAAGTTCTAAGAAATGATGACAAAATTGTCATACTGGTCTTCTCCCGCTCCCAGAGTCGGAATTCAAACGCCTACAGCTAATGTGTACCATGGGTGTACAATTCCAATTTGACAACAATCTTAACCAACAAATAGATGGTGAAGCCATGAACAGTCTTCATGTCATACCTTGAGAAAAAAAAGTTGTAACACGTAATTGACGAAACAACTTCCTACTGTCGATATATCGATGACACATTTGTAGTGCGCTTCAATGAAAGTTATGCTTCCTACTTACTCTGATTATTCAAAGACTCACATACAAATATTGAATTTACTATGGAACTTGAAAATGATAGAAATTTCCATTTCCTTTACATTGCCATGCAACGCCTAGAAGAGGTCAATTTGCCGAAAGCCGACGCGAAATGCACTATATTTACATTTCAATAGTTTTTGTCCGAATAGCTACAAACGAGCACTAGTCAAGACTCTGTACTATAGAGCGAGGAGAATATGCTCTGCAGAAAAACTAGGGGAAGAATTTACGATTCTCGAAAAGTTGTTGAAAAATAAAAGTTATCCTCAGAGATTCACTAACAAATATGGAAGATGAGAAGGCTCAAACATCGAACAAATCACAGAGGAAAAAACCTGTCTCCAATCAACAAGATTTGAAAGGTGAAAACATTGCAGCAATGGCCAACAGAAGACTGAGTATGTCACTTACCAGAGCCTATCCTCCAGCTAAGTTGGTTCCCGTCTATCGAGCAACTTGCTCCTTGGTGCTGTCATATTAAATCCAACTGCGTATGCGAAATTATGTGTATCTGCCAGAGCAGTTACATTGGGAGAAAAGGAGGGCACACATCCGATTTACTAAACATATACCAAACAACCTATGTCTCAAGCGAACAAACTATTATAATAGCACTAAGACCAATTATCTCCTTGATACAGGTCATTGAGTGGAAATTGCGAAGTCCCATCAATTGCTTCTAAACAATAGCCTCATTCTCCACAAGTTTCCCAAAGTTAATTATATCAAACGCATGAAACAAGATTTGTGTTGACAAAGAAGCAGTTATTAGTTTTTCCGTGCCCTCGTAACTGCATGTATCCATTTCCCCTTTTGTTTGACAACTAAACCCTTCACTTTAACCTCAAACCCGCTCTGAATTGGCGCCTAATCCACGAGGGAGTAGAGCAGCGACAGGGGCTACATTTCTATAATTACCGGTGACCAATGCATGGACTGGGACGCAGCAAGGGAGCAGATGTGGGCTCAGACCATCATCTAGTTCAAGGAACCTTCAAAGTGAAGCCAAAATCCCTCAGAACAACTGGAGAGAGAGAGAGAGAGTACTCCAATTCAAGGGATACCTTCACTACAGATCAGATCAGAGCACGGTCTGAAACACTACGTGGTATCGGTGAGGAAACCTGCTTGGAAGAACATTGGAACTCTCTGAAAGCGATATTTAAGGAAACGTGTACAACTATTCTAGTTAGTAAGAAGGAAGATGCAAGACAAGGAATGGCTGCCAACGGATACCTGGAAGCTAATCGAGGAGAGGAGGATGGTGAAAGAGAAGATGACTCAATGCAAGGATGGACAACAGAAGAAGAAGCTGAGTTTAATGTAGATCCCACTGAATGAAGAAGTGAAGAATATTGCTAGGAAAGACAAAAGATAATTGTATGACTCACTGGCAGGCAACTGAAGCAGAACAGGCGGGCCGCAAAGAGACCTCAAAACATTATGTCGAATACCTAGGTCTCTATCCGGAAAATGATCAGTGCAGGTGATTACCAATTACCAGAGAGGAGGGACAAATCAAACAATGGGCTAATCACTTTAAAGGACTCTTGAATCGACCATCACCTACAACCCCCCACAGAAATACCAGCAACAGCACACACAGAACTGGTTGCCAATGGACACCGATTCTCCAACGAAAGCAGAAGTTCTGAATACGATCAAGCTACTGAAGGCCACCTAAAAAGGCAGAAGGACTAGATGGAACTCCCGCTGAAGTACTGAAAACGGATCCAGGGACTAAAACTTTTTTGTACACAAACCTCATATATTATTTGGGCTATAAGCAGATGATAAGACGCCAACGAAATAAATGATGGTACCATATTATTCTACACAAACCACTGTTGTTCTTGCTCTATTCAAATTCACCAAGGGAAATAAATGTATGAAGTACGTATCCCGCCTGATTGTTAGCCCGGTAGCACTCTTGTGTCAAAGACGACATGAAATGGCGAACCTCTAGAAACTGAGGCAAACCATCAAACTTCCGTAACTGAACAGCTTAGTTGGCATAACAGAGTGAAATAGTATTGCTAACTAACGTTCCTTATACCGAGATAGAACAAGAAGAAAAGCTAATGGACTATAAACACACAAATTATGTCGGCTTACTGTGTGACACTATACACCAATTGGCTACTCAAATATCACTTAATCAGTTGCATAGCAATAGAAATAGTGGATACGCATCACGAGACAGCTCAATAAAGGTTTCACTAAGATCACAAATGTGTGGATATAAGACCTGCAGTGAGATGTGCTTCCCAAAAAACTCTTTCGGTGAAAAGTACTGCCACTAAACGTATCTATCGACAAGGTTAAAAGTCGCCTTTATATCAGGAAATCCATCTGGTGTTGGTAGTCCGTAACTGCGTCTATTTTCAAAAGTGTCATAGGAGGAGGTGAATACCCGCTTAACATAACTTCTACCTGAACTTCGTCGACTTCGAAAAGGCCTTCACCAAACAGCGTTGACCGAGAAGTTATTTGGAAACCACGTAAACACTACGAAGGATAATGCCTCAAATCGTTATCAACCTCATTCAGCAGCTACATGACAATGCCACGTGTCAAGTGATCCACAACGGAAAATTCAGCGAAGCATTTGAAGTGAATGCGACAGTAAGACAAGATTTACTGCCTATTATCACCCACGATGATATTCTTAATTGTGGTGGACTGGATTACGCCTCAGACTGTGAGTGGGAGCGAGGAGATAGGAATACGCTGGACCACCGATAAGAACACTGTAGATGATGTGGATTTCACGCGTGGATGATTTATGTTTAATGTCACACAAACTCGAAGACTTGTAGGCGAAAACCAATAACTTGGCGCCAGAGACAGGCAGGCAGCGAAGACAGAACTGTCGGTGAACATACAGAAGACGGAGGTGATGAAGATAACCAACCAACAGTGACAGCAACAACAAACACCACTAATCATTATGAACGGGAGAGATTTGAAAGATGTTGCTTCCTTCTTTCACTTATCTAGGAAGCATTGTTTCAACCACACCCAGGGGAACGGGTGAAAGCCAGCCTGTCAGTCAGTCAGTCAGTCAGAATCTGAAAGGTAAGATACTTATTCATCAATCTGAAATTGGTTTCGGAAATCTTCTACACCCCGCCTCAGCATAAAGCATAAGATTAGGATTTTCAGCACAAATATGAAGTCAGTCAGTCCTTCTATATGAGTGAGAAACTCGGCGCGGGAGTCACGAAAAGTATTTCCAACAAGAATTCCGATACTTGAAAATTCCATAGCAGTTTGTTTATTAGATATATCACACAGTGAAACAGTATTATTTACTGCATGACACAGTTTCGAACAAAATTTATTGTTCATAATCATATCAATTGTAATCACACAACTTTGAAACTTGAGCTTTATAGTTTTCTTTGTCTTCTCCTATTTGTCGTCGTAGGGGTAGTAGAATTTTCCAGATATCTGGGACAGGTGTTGAATCATTCCTATTATTGAATCAACTGCAAATACATGTAATAGGAATGATTCAACATCTGTCCCAGATATCTGGAAAATTCTGCTACCCCTACGACAAATAGGAGAAAACTATAAAACTCAAGTTTCAAAGTTGTGTGATTACAATTGATATGATTATGAACAATAAATTTTGTTCGAAACTGTGTCATGCAGTAAATAATACTGTTTCACTGTGTGATATATCTAATAAACAAACTGCTATGGAATTTTCAAGTATCGGAATTCTTGTTGGAAATACTTTTCGTGACTCCCGCGCCGAGTTTCTCACTCATATAGAAGGACTGACATATCAGAAAGACTTCAATTAGTGGTTTGACAGTACAGAATTATCTGTAAGACACAAATACTGCAAAGGGAAAACAATCAATTTTCTGAAGTGAAAAGTATATATAATAATACAAAATACATAAAGACAGAAAGGAATTTCCACTTCACAGTTTACATAGTATAAAAAATACAGAAATAACTCAAGAGAAATTTCAGGTCTTCTACGTAATTGTGCTCACATACAAATTGGAAAGTTTTTTTTTGAAAAAGTTATCGGAGTAAGAAATCGCGGCAATAAGCCGTTCGCAGGGGAAAATTTAATAGAGACATTTCCATTCCGCTTTATAATCGCAACTATCATTATCATCTGTTTTTTAATTCACAGTCACTTAAATACTACAAATGAAAAGTATAAAGGAATTCTCATTTAAGATCAGTTATAACACTATCTTCAACTAAGGAAACCATTTCAGAAGAAACATTGTTCGATCGCTTTGCGGGAGGTTTAAGGAATGCATCTAAAGTGACTCTCTTTCGAACTGTTGTTTGAGCTGAAACCATAGCTTTAGGGGGAACATTTTCATGACTGATTTTTGTAAGTACGTTAGCGTCCTTTTCGTCTCCATCGCATCTGTTTGATGAAATAAACTGGTCAGATATCTGAACTGATTCTTTTTCTGACTGTTCGGCAGGGACTACTATATTTGATGAATCCAATGGCTTTAATACAGATATACAATCGTCAGCACTTCGATCTGAATCTGGCAGACAATCTGTGACGGGAGGTATCTCTATAGGTCGGCGACTGACAGATACCCGGTTCCCCCTTATACTGGTTGCTGCTACATCAGTTAGGTACTGCCATGAGGGGAATACGAAACTATTTAGGTAATCTTTATCAACCTTTTCCGTATTGCGTAACTCCTGAATATTGCACAAAGTGCATAAACGTGAGGCATATTTCTGAATCGCCTCAGCGTTTACCATCCACCTAAAGAAAATAGAGAAATATATGAATGCAATCACATGTTAAATAAGAATTCACGAAGATACGTTACACCACAGCAACTATAAACCAACTTATTACAACATGTCATGAAAAGATGTAGACAAGGTTCCAGTTTAACAAACACATGCTCAAAAGATACATTCGACAAGCTGATTTCACAAGGCAGATAAGTTACACACTTTTCAATACGAGCTTAAAAACAGTTCAGATAGTCGGTTTTCTAAGCAAATACTTTAAATTCATCTTTTTTATATGGCCTGTACAATTCTATTCTGCATCGATAGAATATTTACAAGCAACAAGTTGAAGGAGAATTAAGTCTCTTCTGTGAGAGTGTAGGTATAACTGTCAACTCTCTATCTATACTGAGATTGAAAGTTTACAACAGTGCCTGACACAAACTTGAATGATGCTTAGTCCCAATAGTGTGCTTATTGTAAAATGGTCAAATGACAGATAAACTTGAAACAAATGTTTCCTCATAATCCACATTTCACTGCATTTTCAAACAGGATTTTCCAACTCTGCTCCAGGATAATAGATGACCGATTATGTCTTTAAAAGCACTACTACTATTCTCGATATTTGACAAAAGATACGTAAAACACGTAGGCGATCGGTTTTTAGCGACGACAGTAGTAAATGCTATAGACGTAATGTACCACGGGTATGACAGGAATCTCTATAGTTAATATGCTATCACAACAAATCGCTCGATTAAACTTTTTCGAGAGCTATTACAACTAAACTGAATGAACACGAATTCAATGCCTTGGAGTGTATAAACTATTCAGTCTAAATGTCTAGCTCTTAGTTAACTAATTTCCATCAGAGATTCTCAGACCAACATTAAAAACCATCGTCTAGAAGATAAAATGAAATGCAACAATAAAACTGTAAGTACATGCGGGAATACGTTGCCATAATGAGATAAACTTTTAGATGAAACACTTCCATAGAAACTCCGGAAGTTTATTTAGAAATCGAATTTTCCTCTTATATGTACATTATTCGAAGTGCGATAACTTGAAAAGATGAACGCCTGTTGAAAGTGTTAAAAGTTGATTATTCCTAGTCGTTGGAAAATTTAAGCAGTATAATCATGTCCATTAAACTGAAGAAGTCCAGCTGTACCTGCTAGACATTTGATAAAAGCCGAAAATGTAACGTTTCGACTGACTAGTGCATTAAACAAAGAACTTCAGTCTCATTATTCAACCAAATCCTTGAATACGTGTTGCATACAATAGCCTACTCAACTAGCAAGTGTACACATTGGTTAAGTAGAAGCAAATAGCTTTGTTACGGTTTAAGTAAATGACCAAATAAATCATAGGATGAGAAAAACGGAAAAAATGTGAACCAGTAGACAGCTCAATTCAATAAACATAATTCATATGCCTTGAATTAATTCCCTATTTCACGCACTGTTTCGTAACTTGCGATCATGTATCTTTTAAACATATTCATTTTATAGACTTTTGAATATTATACAGTAATTATTCACAAGTGGTGTTAAATATGAATGAAATTCGAAAATCACTTGCATTTTTATGCACTTGATGAACAGTGATAGCTAATGTATAAGGGCTGAACGAACTTCGATAAATGGAGTAGGTCTGGAACCGATGTCCCACTGACTGTATGTTTAGATCAACAACCAACTAATACACAAATGTTTCCAACGAAGTAAGTTGAAATATACATGTATAAGAGATACTTCCCGACCGATAGCTGCTACCTTGACGTGATGATCGGGCTTGCACATCCCAATAACCCAACAAGCTATACTGGCTGGAACTATTCTTCCTGCAGGTCCTACCTTGCCAGGAAGGTTGTCAGAATAGCGATTAGACTAAAGCCAGTTACCGGAATCGTGTAAGAATTTTGTTTTTATACTATGCTGGGGGTCTGTGGGAGAAGTCGTACTGCTAGGGGAACAGGGATGTAGCAGCAGTAAGGTGTTTCCCTCGAATGACCAGCATGCCAGCTATGCTGTCTCTCCAATCTGGAGAGAGGGGGTTAGAAAAGGTCAACTTAACAATTATACATCCCGACTTACTCTACAGTGGTCTGTAACCGGCGGTAAGTTACTAGTACGGATCCAATCCAAGAAACCACTTCATACAGGCCATGTGTGACCGGCCTCAAGCAGTTGTCCCCTGGGCTCTGCGGTCACTCAACACTAACCCTCTTTCTGTTTCAGGTATCCAAAGAATCAATCAACTTCCACGGTGTGGGCAGCCGGGAAGTAACAACTACCCACACTTCCGAAAGCACACGAAGCCTTCCTGAGCATCATTCTCCTTTATCCACATTACCTTCTTCATCTTATTCCCCCACTACAGTTAGTACTATTCTGCAGGCTAGCGAGTCATCTTCACTTCACTCTGTGACCACGAACAACGGTGAGAGCCATAGAAACACCCCAGATAGCCTTTTAAAGCCACGTCACCAACTTCATATAGGAGCTTTTAACGTCAGGACCCTCTGCCTAGTCGGAAAACAGGTATCACTAGCGAGAACTCTGACAACTCGAGCCATGGATGTATGTTGTGCTTCATAGACACACATACAAGACCGGAGTGTAGTCATTCACTTAACCTCACCCGATTAACAAGGTGAATCTGCAAAATTCACTTTAAGGGTGTCAGAAGACCCCTCAGCTAGCTCGCGAGGACTCACGGGTGTAGGAATAGCACTGGGTGTTAGGGCAGAAAAATCACTTCTTGACTGGATCCCAGTAAATAGTCGTATGTGTGCGGTCCGTCTCAATGGGTCCGTCAAAAGAAGGGAAGACGGCGCTACCCGTTGCTGCCTTTTCGTAGTCTCCGCTTACACCCCAACAGACTGCAGTTCGAATGAACTAAAGGATGACTTCTACCTGAAACTGTCTAATTTGCTGCAAAAATCTAAACGCTCAGATATAGTTGTTTTGGCAGGCAACTTCAATGCCTAAGTAGGGAAGTTGTGCCAGCCTGAGAAGTATGTAGGTGGTACGTATGGAGTTCGATGCCGACGAACCGATAACGGTAATCGTCTTCTACAGTTTTGCTTTCGACACCAACCTCTCCTGCTACATGAGAATGGTTGGTTAGTAAACTAAGCGTGTAGTTTTCTTCATCCACATTATGCAGATCCATTATTCCCTTCTTGTGAAGTCAATAATAAAATGCGAAGTCTTCTGAACAACTAGAGCTTAAACTTCAGTATGTCTGGCATGGGATTTACCTCAGTGAAGCATAAGATGATGATGCACGACTGGTCTGCACTGACTCTTAGTTTAAAGATAAAAACTGAAATAGTTTAGCGTACTGAACACTTTACTAATTTGTGAAGTTGCATCAGTCCCAAGGGACTGATTGCTGAAGAGTTCTCAATACAGGTAGAAAAAGGCTCGTGTGACATTTGCTAACATGCATTATCTGTGATGTAGGCATGATATCTGTTCATCAATCAAAAGACATATTCTGAGCAACAGCTCGCCTTGTCTTTCTTTAAGGAGATAAGACATGGCACTTGAAAGTGGAAGATATGAAGACTGGTCATGGAAGGTCTAAGAATCAGTTGCTCATGCCTGTTGGTGATATAGCCTAAGATAGTTTTTATGGGCGAAGTATTCATTCTTTGAAATCTCCTAGATTTGTTATATTCTCATTCCCCTTCACATAATTATTCATTTTGCCTTGAATTTCTGCTTATTACGGTTTCCTTGCATCTCTTTTTCCACCTTTATCTTTTACTATGAAAAGTGACAACGTGAACTCCTGTACTTTTGTGCGAAATTCTACGTTAAAGATTCGCCTCAGTTCAGAATGTTGGCACTACTCAAATTTTCAAGTATTGGTTTTGTAGGGATTTTGTTTGATTGGATGGAGGATTTCATCATGAGCTGACATCAGTTATTACTTTACATCAATATTAGCTAAGTGACAGCCCCCATTCTGAGTGATTTAACAGCCGAAAGCTTCCCACTATCTGGAATTAATGACAAAAACAAATCACACTGAATAATTAGTTAGAGTTTCACAAATTATTCGACTGGGGCTTAATGAGATAACATGTTGGATAGTTTTGTTTTATATTCTAAGAAAATTTTTGGTTAAAGAGATATTTGTAATAATTACAAAAATCAAAATAGGTTGTTGTAGAGGGTGAGAATTAAAACAACTGAAATTCTATTAATTACCTTCCCTCTGAAAAGACAGCGATTTCTGCTAATTTGGATAGTACAACCGACTGACTTAATGGTAAATTATCCCAAGAAGGACCAGAATAAACAGGACCTCGTGAAACAGATGATCCCATCACAGTAGAATTATGCTTTTTGTATTCCATATACTGAAGACATTCAGGTAAACTACCCGTTGTTTGACGATACCAGAAGACACGGAATTCAAAAGCTAACTTATGCTTCCCCAAAGGACTCCGATGAACAAGATGAATGAAATACGGCATGGCTATAAAGAGAAGGAAAAATAAGCATCTTTATCCAATGGAGTCATTTGGTTTGTATATTAAGAACCAACCTGGAAAATGAACAAAAAGTTTGTAAAATTAAAGAATCGTATGGAATACACGACGGATTATCGAAAATCATAATGCTGATGACGCTTACAATAGTTTAGGTATGCAGGCATTATGTCTATATTTCCCGTTCAACTGTAAAATGCCACCACTAGGAATGACGATTGACAGTGGTTAGCTTCAACCATATCTTATATATGGAAACAAGCCTGAAAAGTGATAAGCTTCAAATCTCGGAGGTTGCATTTTACTAGTGTTCCCGGTTCTAACAAAACAAATGTTCCACACAGTAAGAGGGTTAAAAACAGAAACCTCATGTTCCATCCGTGATTCCAGTCAACACCACTCACGTGACTACTGCACGGATGGTTGATATATTTTAATCTACACAGTTATGAAACAAGTCAGCAGTCAAGTTGGTGATTTTATCACTGGGTGATGTAGTTTCAAATGTCACGAAGAACACCGGCTTTGTGTCCTGTTACGGGGTGATGATCAAGAAAGCCTTCTGTCGAATGACTTTCCATTTTAAGTGCACCACACTTCACATTTTCGCATCAATCAGTGAGATGAGGTCCTGAAACAAGATTATACTAAGAGAACTACAGTGATTGCAATACGGCAACTGATTTGCGCACACCTGCCCCAGAGAAAATCAATGAAATTACTGAAGCAACTGACAATTTCAATAAAACAAGAATAACTGATTCAGCAGAACGAGATGGTATCATGCTACTTCGTCAGTCGCATACCACATAAAAAGTGTGAAAACAGAGAAATTTTTGATACAGGTAACACTAGACTCTAAAGATACTAGAAAGTGCTCAGAAGATACACTTGTATAACTTATAAGGTTAACCTTAATTTTCTCCAAAGTTTACATGTATTGAGAGAGGAGTTGCATAACAATGACAAGAGATGGCAAAGTTAAATGCAAGTAAACGATGAGTTGCACAGAAATATATTGAGTCAGACCCAAATAACAGAAAAAAATAGAGACAAATTATTATACACCAAAAGGAAAAGATGGCAATGCAACAGATTATGTAATCAAATAAAAACAATAAATTGAGTCATAAGTGCAACATAAGACTGATGGACGACTCTTTCTGAAAACATAAGACGGAATTTAAACACTTGATAAGAAATGAATTATGCTTTATATTGTTTAATGGAAAGCGTTCGAATATGTCAAATTCATGGCAAGTATCAACGATATGACTGGCAACAGCAATGCTAAAACCGTCCTTTCCCTTAAGACAAGTCAGTGCATGGGATCCTGAATCCAAACAGATAAAATGGTCTGGGAACCTGAATTATATATATATATATATATATATATATATATATATATATTACTGTCTTCTTTGGTTCCGAGTCGAACACTGGGTTTCAACAACACATCTCCACATTGTTACACTTTCTGCTGTCCCCTTCGGCTAGACTCACAATCGCCCATAACACCTCATCTCCTCCTCTCACGATCTCGTCAATGTCACCCTCGCACTGACAACCCACTCTTCGCCCCCGATTCGGGTTTCCCTCGAGCGGTGGCCTAACACGATGTCATTCGACGATCTCCTCAGTGTATGCCCAATCCATCCCTACTCACCCTTACATATTCCGTGTCATAGTTTATTCTTGATGATTCCTTCTGGCCAGCTAATTGATATTCAACATGTAGCCAGCTTAGAGAGCTGTTGATAAAAGTCTCCCGTAGCCTGTTGGAAATACTTTTCGTGACTCCCGCGCCGAGTTTCTCACTCATATAGAAGGACTGACTGACTTCATATTTGTGCTGAAAATCCTAATCTTATGCTTTATGCTGAGGCGGGGTGTAGAAGATTTCCGAAACCAATTTCAGATTGATGAATAAGTATCTTACCTTTCAGATTCTGACTGACTGACTGACTGACTGACTGACTGACTGACTGACTGACTGACAGGCTGGCTTTCACCCGTTCCCCTGGGTGTGGTTGAAACAATGCTTCCTAGATAAGTGAAAGAAGGAAGCAACATCTTTCAAATCTCTCCCGTTCATAATGATTAGTGGTGTTTGTTGTTGCTGTCACTGTTGGTTGGTTATCTTCATCACCTCCGTCTTCTGTATGTTCACCGACAGTTCTGTCTTCGCTGCCTGCCTGTCTCTGGTGCCAAGTTGTTGGTTTTCGCCTACAAGTCTTCGAGTTTGTGTGACATTAAACATAAATCATCCACGCGTGAAATCCACATCATCTACAGTGTTCTTATCGGTGGTCCAGCGTATTCCTATCTCCTCGCTCCCACTCACAGTCTGAGGCGTAATCCAGTCCACCACAATTAAGAATATCATCGTGGGTGATAATAGGCAGTAAATCTTGTCTTACTGTCGCATTCACTTCAAATGCTTCGCTGAATTTTCCGTTGTGGATCACTTGACACGTGGCATTGTCATGTAGCTGCTGAATGAGGTTGATAACGATTTGAGGCATTATCCTTCGTAGTGTTTACGTGGTTTCCAAATAACTTCTCGGTCAACGCTGTTTGGTGAAGGCCTTTTCGAAGTCGACGAAGTTCAGGTAGAAGTTATGTTAAGCGGGTATTCACCTCCTCCTATGACACTTTTGAAAATAGACGCAGTTACGGACTACCAACACCAGATGGATTTCCTGATATAAAGGCGACTTTTAACCTTGTCGATAGATACGTTTAGTGGCAGTACTTTTCACCGAAAGAGTTTTTTGGGAAGCACATCTCACTGCAGGTCTTATATCCACACATTTGTGATCTTAGTGAAACCTTTATTGAGCTGTCTCGTGATGCATATCCGCTATTTCTATTGCTATGCAACTGATTAAGTGATATTTGAGTAGCCAATTGGTGTATAGTGTCACACAGTAAGCCGACATAATTTGTGTGTTTATAGTCCATTAGCTTTTCTTCTTGTTCTATCTCGGTATAAGGAACGTTAGTTAGCAATACTATTTCACTCTGTTATGCCAACTAAGCTGTTCAGTTACGGAAGTTTGATGGTTTGCCTCAGTTTCTAGAGGTTCGCCATTTCATGTCGTCTTTGACACAAGAGTGCTACCGGGCTAACAATCAGGCGGGATACGTACTTCATACATTTATTTCCCTTGGTGAATTTGAATAGAGCAAGAACAACAGTGGTTTGTGTAGAATAATATGGTACCATCATTTATTTCGTTGGCGTCTTATCATCTGCTTATAGCCCAAATAATATATGAGGTTTGTGTACAAAAAAGTTTTAGTCCCTGGATCCGTTTTCAGTACTTCAGCGGGAGTTCCATCTAGTCCTTCTGCCTTTTTAGGTGGCCTTCAGTAGCTTGATCGTATTCAGAACTTCTGCTTTCGTTGGAGAATCGGTGTCCATTGGCAACCAGTTCTGTGTGTGCTGTTGCTGGTATTTCTGTGGGGGGTTGTAGGTGATGGTCGATTCAAGAGTCCTTTAAAGTGATTAGCCCATTGTTTGATTTGTCCCTCCTCTCTGGTAATTGGTAATCACCTGCACTGATCATTTTCCGGATAGAGACCTAGGTATTCGACATAATGTTTTGAGGTCTCTTTGCGGCCCGCCTGTTCTGCTTCAGTTGCCTGCCAGTGAGTCATACAATTATCTTTTGTCTTTCCTAGCAATATTCTTCACTTCTTCATTCAGTGGGATCTACATTAAACTCAGCTTCTTCTTCTGTTGTCCATCCTTGCATTGAGTCATCTTCTCTTTCACCATCCTCCTCTCCTCGATTAGCTTCCAGGTATCCGTTGGCAGCCATTCCTTGTCTTGCATCTTCCTTCTTACTAACTAGAATAGTTGTACACGTTTCCTTAAATATCGCTTTCAGAGAGTTCCAATGTTCTTCCAAGCAGGTTTCCTCACCGATACCACGTAGTGTTTCAGACCGTGCTCTGATCTGATCTGTAGTGAAGGTATCCCTTGAATTGGAGTACTCTCTCTCTCTCTCTCCAGTTGTTCTGAGGGATTTTGGCTTCATTTTGAAGGTTCCTTGAACTAGATGATGGTCTGAGCCCACATCTGCGTCCCAGTCCATGTATTGGTCACCGGTAATTATAGAAATGTAGCCCCTGACTCTGCTCTACTCCCTCGTGGATAAGGCGCCAAGTCAAAGGCTATGACGTTGGTACCTTAAAACAACCACCTACTTCGGTTTGGGCGTCCATGCAGTATCCAAGCCTTAGCACCAGGCTTTGTATCAACAAAATAATGAAAAACCTTCGGTCATATGCGTCTAGGTACAGTTTGAGATAATTCAAGGTGCCCTTCTCTCTGTTCTCCAAATATGTAATTGCTTTCGCAGATACATGTAAATTTGTATACACAGAGTTAACGTAAGAAGGATATCTATCGTCCTTTAATTGCACTAAACAGGGTGTTGCTTGATAAACGGGAACCAACTTGATCGTAGGATATGTTCTGGCTGGTTTCGTCCTAACTTAGATTATGTTACCTTTGCAGGTATGTTAGAAATTTCTCTGTATATACATTTTTTCCAATTCTATATATAAGTACATAGGTTGCTATTTGCAATTGGAAATAAGAACTATCTGACTTCAACATAGTAGCCTTAGTGGTAGTTGAGATGCAGCTGGAGAATACTAGACAATCTGAGAAAGTGGAATTTCTGATAGTCTTTTCTGAATTCCCAAAACATCAAATACTTTTATTTTAAAATGCTATAGATGATTTTATTGTTTAATGACTTTATAGCAGATAATTAAAACTATGATCGATAAGAGCAAGAAAACACACCAAGTATGCTAGAAGCATATGGACCTTAGTAAGACAAAAACTAACCTTCCTCAGGTAGTGATTTTTTCAATCGTCTTGAAGGTGTCGTGGCAACAGTATCTACTTCAACAGAAATCGGTAAATTAGTTGTCCATGCATGTATCTTTAATACAGAAAAATTGAAAACAGAATTTACTAAATGACCGTATGAAATGTACTCAGTGAATATACTGTTTGTAAAAACAAATTGCAAGAACACTATTTACCAATTACGTCAGTCACAACTGGAGGAAGTTATCGTTCTTCATTCTATTGGTTGAACACAAGGTTATCAGTGCTACATGTCACACGTGCTTGTCAATCCTCCATTGTGGCTTTTTTTGCTTTCAATTTGGTTAAACTGACGACTTCATTCTGCGAAACGACAACTGTACACTCGCATTTCTATAATATTGGATATGTAACCTGTTCTGTATACTACACTGGAGCTGTGTGAGCAATGGAAGTTGTTATATGGTGAAAAAAACTGTGTTGAGGACTTTTATTAACACTTTGAAAACACAAAACTCTAACTAAATCTCCGCCTATATGTTTCCCTCAGTGCATCTCGACTCCTAAAGAGTTACTAACGGAACACAATAAAGACAAATTTATCAGTTGACGACAATAACTAAATGAAAGCAACATATTCATATACGTGAACCACTTTAGAATGTGTAGCTCCAGGGGACACAAAATACAATGCATATTTTAAATAATACTACTGACTCCAAATGTAGTAGTGTTGAAACAGTAGTGTTGAATTTACCGTCATTACCAGGTATATTTAGGTGTTAGAAATGCTGAATTAAATAAAATGAGTCTATAAATTTTAAAAGCGAGGCAAAACAGAAGTCTCTAAAGTACCTCAAAAAGTTCAAGATAAGGAAAACCATCACTTTAAACTGTTTTATTGAGATGACACAGTGTGCAAACATTTGCATAAAAGGGATAACAACAACCTTTAAAGAATACTTACCCGATACACGCTAAGGACAGATCTCATTAGTGTGAATTCAGTCTTTTCGTTGATATGTTTACTGACAATACACCTTTCAGATAATTCAATATTTTCTTTGTTCTCTTCAAGATTCTGATTATTTGTTTGGTTTGTGCTATTATTTAGTATTCCTTCCACCGGTTCCGATAACCATAAAGGTCCGATTAGCACCGGTTTCAAACGTTGCAGTCCACGACGATGGCAGCCTCATATTCAGCAACAGACAACAGTTGGCGTAACTGTTTCATCTCATCAGGAATTGGACCTTCGTTTTCTTCAGCCGCAACACCCTCGTCATCAGACAAATAACCATGGGGAACAAAGAATCGGTCATCATCGTCATCATCTTCATCATCTTCCTTTTCTTCCTCTTCCTCCTCATCTTCATTCTAAGAAAAGAAATATACGAATTCAGATATTGAAGAATGCTAAGTAGTTAAGTATTGCAGTGCATATTTCTAAAACCACTACTGTTGACAACACTGGGTCACCTACTAGGTAGAGGGGAATATCGATAGTACAAAGCCATTTAAGCTACTATATTACTAGAAATAGATTATATGACAGAAAAAAAACAAATTAAAAACATGTTACCAAGACCTACAAAAATCTTCAGAAGGAATGGTAAAGCCAACAACGAAACTGAATAACACAACTAAGATCAAGGAAATATACGAATGCATCTGCAGTAGCATAAACGACTCTGACTCATCTAGCATCCGAACATCTATTATGACTTCAACCAAACAACCCGGCATTCCCTATACTGTAAAACCCAAATGATTTTATGGGTTGTCTCAGTCACCAAAGTTTAATTTGAGTTTAGTTCCACATCAGCTAACAGAAAACATCGAGACCCTTGGTTAATGAACATGCTTACTCCAATTTGTGTTTGGGAAGTATCTCAGTTAAAAGAAAATCTTAGACGAAACTCCAACAAAGATTACAACTAGACCTTATGACCTCACAAATAATCACTTATCCTGGATTGCAAACAGTATACGTAAACGTCCCATTTTTAATAATTATCAAGTCAGTAAGATGATGATGCAGGATCGGACTACACTCCTGGACTCCTAGCTTAAAGATAGAGAGTGAAGTGGCAGGGAGTAATGATGACGATTCACTTATTTGGAAAGTCGCACGAGCTTCGGTGGGTTGATTGCTGACGAAATCTCAGAAAGGATGATAGAAACAGCCGTGCGGCGTTTGCCAACTTACATCATCTTTGGTGTAAATATGGTATCCGACTATCGGTCAAAAGATGAGCGCACTGCGCAATAGTTTGCCTTCTCCTTCTGTGAGACGTGGCTATTGACGGTGGGAGATATGAAGAGGCTAGGTGTCTTTGACCACAGATGTTTGCGTTCTATCTCTCGTGTTAGTTGTGTGGTATGATATGGTGAGTAATAATGAGGCTATGTGTAGAGTGCTAGGTAAGACAGAGAATTCAACAGATTAGGTTGTGAGCCTGCATCCATTGAGATGGTTAGGGTATGCGTTGTGCAAGACGAACTACCACCTTTCAACATGAGAAATATCACCTGATATAGGATTAAGTTGCAAAAGAATTCTGAGTGGCCGAACAAAAACCTGGCATTAATCCGTAAAGATTCTGACTATCAGTTTCAGCCACGTAAGAAGGTCCTACAGACTGTGGAACGGCTCAAAGTCGCTCTCAATGGTAAAGTGGATCTACTTTTTGTGAACTTCCAGATCCATTGAATTCCCATGTATTCTCTATTTATCTCTCTCAGTTATTCATCTAGGAAGTTTAGCATTTCAGAGATAGATGTTAGTCTTTAGAATACTGAGTATACAAAGCCAAACCTACATCTCTGTAATTAGATTGAATCAATTACGAACTAATCCAGTGCTTCCATTCTGACCTTAACCTAATTCATGAGACATTTTTTTGTCGAAGAAGTTAGTAAGACATGGTTAAAATCGTCCAGTAACCCCAGCCGATGAAAATTGACTTCATTAATTGGTTTATCTTTTCCAGTCAGAGCAGCTTAGTCCCTATGCACCACTTAACATTTGACTGGAATGGACAGTATACCATACATTTTGCTCAGGGTCCCAAGAAAAATCTTCATTGCTAGGATCTTTACCTAAAATCAATATAACATCTGGGCACTCTAAATGGACTAACTCTTTTACTGATTCGTGAGAGACTCCAATCAAACTCGGTTGCCATTATTAGTGCATCTATAATACAAACAGAATGTAAGTCATAAATTCAAGTGGTAAATCTCTACAGGCTCCCACACGAATGTGATTTCAAATCCCGACCGATAGCTGCTACCTTGACGTGATGATCGGGCTTGCACATCCCAATAACCCAACAAGCTATACTGGCTGGAACTATTCTTCCTGCAGGTCCTACCTTGCCAGGAAGGTTGTCAGAATAGCGATTAGACTAAAGCCAGTTACCGGAATCGTGTAAGAATTTTGTTTTTATACTATGCTGGGGGTCTGTGGGAGAAGTCGTACTGCTAGGGGAACAGGGATGTAGCAGCAGTAAGGTGTTTCCCTCGAATGACCAGCATGCCAGCTATGCTGTCTCTCCAATCTGGAGAGAGGGGGTTAGAAAAGGTCAACTTAACAATTATACATCCCGACTTACTCTACAGTGGTCTGTAACCGGCGGTAAGTTACTAGTACGGATCCAATCCAAGAAACCACTTCATACAGGCCATGTGTGACCGGCCTCAAGCAGTTGTCCCCTGGGCTCTGCGGTCACTCAACACTAACCCTCTTTCTGTTTCAGGTATCCAAAGAATCAATCAACTTCCACGGTGTGGGCAGCCGGGAAGTAACAACCGCCCACAAACTTCCAAGATCACACGAAACCTTCAGTCAGTGATTTCAAGTAGAGAATACTGATAAGTACAACGCTTCAACATCCTCTCCACAGTCCGATACTGTCACACCACTCCTCGAATTTCTGCTTTTACATGGCAATTAGGGACATGTTGGACAGTGGTATGCTTGTTACAGAACTAACTGGAAATATCACTAGTCCACCTCTAAATAGGCCTCAATTAAACTATTATCAACACAGAATTCTGCACAGAGGTGAAGTAGCTCAATTAGCCAAACTTCAGATAGGCACACAAAAGTAAGGAACAGAAGCGTAATAAAAGTACAATAGTTACAGGATTTCATTATGAGCTGACATTAAATCTTAACTTTCGGGAGTAAAGATTTACGAAGATCACTGAAGATTTTCAAGACCTGAAAGATGACAGGGAGTGAATGCATGTGCGCTACTGCAAATAATTTTTAAACTTATCACCAAAAGTCCACGATAACTGATTCTGAGCACCTCGAGAACCTGAACAAAGCACTTCATACCTTCCTACGTGGGGGAAACCAACAGTCAAAAGCTTCATGGATCGCTGATACATTTTTTCTGACTACCGAATTCTTTTCAAACCTAGCTGCATATCAGTTGACACTACTCGAGGTTGCTGATGCTGAATTGCACCTGGTCGGCGAAGGAATATGGGCCCCAGAGGCATAGAAACTTAATTACTAAGGTTGTCTTGTTTCGTGTCAGGATGAAGAATGGTCATATCTGCAGATAAAGTTGGTGCAGCTGCTGGAATTGGACAGTAAACCACAGTTTAGCTGTAGGTTAGTCGAACCGCTCCTTAGTGTCCACATAAACGTGTCATTCGTCTATTCTTCCGAATTATGAAAGTTCCTTTCACCTTAGAAAATAATTCACTTAGTAGTCTTATTAGGGCTCGTCTTTATTATCCTATTAAACCGTAGGAATTTCTGAAACAGGTCACTTGCAAAGCAAAAATATTAGAATCAATAGATGATTAACTTACATCAGACTGAGTGATGCTCTCACCAGGCTCTTCCTCTTCCCATTCATCATCTGAATCTATTGAATAATCAAGTTGATAATCGTCGCGAGCGAAAGGTCTACGACCTGTAACAATACGGCTACGACGTCTCCAAGTTCCATAGTAGGCTGGTCGGTAATTTTCCACGAACTGAAATAGTTTGGCACGAAGCCATACAGTTCCACCACCACCGCGATTACCATGCTGTTTCAAAGCTAAAGGATCTACAGGGCCATACGAATTCCCCCCAAGAAGCTGAACATCAGGCGGTTCTCTAAAATGTCGAACAGAGCATAAACCATGCAAATGAACGGAACCACCGTAATTAACATATAAATGTCATGAGAACAACAATACACATTTAATCGTAGGAAGAAAACTGAAGTTAATAATTTCACAGGTATTTAAGAACCAATTATAAGAAAAACCCGATTCACTGACTCACTGACAAACCAACGTATAACGTGGCGCAGTAGTGCATCAGTTGAAATAGTCACACTTTGAACGAAGAAAAGAACAGAGAGAGGATGATACTACAAATGACAAAACTTATTTGTGACTGCAAGACTGCAACCCCGGTTTCTGACATAAACTATCTCTAAGTAAAAAAAAAACTCGTGATAGGATATATATTGAAGTACGTGAAGCATCAAAGCTCTCACAGTAACACAATCTATGTGTCTTATTAAATGGGAGGAAAATGGATGTCAGTGACATCTTTATAAACTAATCGACTACCAGGATTTAGACAAAGACGATTAACTACCATGCAATTTTTGCAAGCAAAGAATCACGTAGACTGTATTTGGCTATTAGAGACCTTTTCCTCTTAAACAGCAAACTTCCTTGAGTAGTGCAGGTCTGACTATTGAAATATAAGTTTCTTCAAAGCGTATGAAGTATGAAACTTAAGTCCATAGATTCCCATCCACTGACTACAAACATTTCATTGACCAAATGTATTATCACACTGTTTGTTGCCCAGCTGTATGGCACATTCTTCTTAGTAAATTATGCTAAGTCACATTTGGTGTGAAGTCCTCCACTTCCAAATGGTTGCACACGTAAAGTAAGCCCTGAGTTCTAAATTCAATACACTGAAAATCAGCTACTCAATGGGGTTATTTGCACCCTACTGTGTAACGCTACATTTGGTAACGAATAAGATGGTGATGAAATCACAGTTACCACAAATTTAGAAATATTAATAAGGCTTGTCCTATCAGCAAAAATGAGGAACAAAATCCTGAGGACTAATTCAGCAACTTTACATGAACATTATGTTATTATTTTCACTCATTGAATACAGAGTGGAACATAGAATCTTAGTGGCACACCACCACTGCATTCAGTTATCTGCTACCATATTCAACTAACTCCTCAAATGACCACAAGCCCTCATTTCTTGTTATGACCTGCTCCACGTCACCCTACGGCACTCAATCCCACTGACTCCTATCCAAGTTCCACTCGAGAGTCTAGCAGAGGATGGTACTAAGTTTCATCAGCGTATGTACAATTCATTCCCATTTCATTCTGCTTAACTGTCAGACAGTAGACTCTTGACTGGCTCACTAACCTCTACAGTTATTTGTCCATTTTGGTCGGCTATCTGTTCTGCAGTATCGACTGAATGAAGCTGTTGACGGAAGTACTATGACAGTGCTTACGCCAAGTCTCTGAATCATACAAAAGTTCAGGGACACCAGATATCCAATATATGGCTGAAGTGAAGCACAAATACTAGTCGTTTTACCATGATCGAAAATAGTGGGCCTATGGCAATAATGATGTTAAGTGACTCACATTTCAATGATTGCAATTAAATCATATTGAGTACACATAATTTAGTCAGCATTGCTAACAATTAGAAATGGCAAAAGTGTCTTGAAATTATAGGTTTCCAAACCGTAGGTGTTACGAACTTCCTGGAATAATTTGAGCACCGAGTCAGATTGATTCATTATAAATTATTTAAATTAATCCCAGTGTGTTAAGAAAATCAAAACAAGATTTTTTCTGAACGTTTCGCCGTGTAAGCCACCGCTTCTTCAGCAGATGTGAGGACTACTTACATATTTCTATTGGTAAAAAATGTTCATCTGTCTGTCTGTCTGTTTTCGACATAGAACTTTGCACAAATGTGCGGAAGTTCAAGTCGCCACATTCCGTGTAGCATGCGAAGCAAGAGAAGAAAGTACAAGAAAAGCATAATAGAAACAGTGAGCAGAGGTGTGAGACAAAGGAGTAATAAAAAAATACAAAACAGTTTCATTGAAGATCATAAGTCACAGGGAGTGGATGCATCTGCGCCACTGAGAACGGTTTTGAGCCATGTCACCAATTGTTTCCAACCATAGATTTTTACCGTCCCGAGGACCCCAGCCTGGAAGTCTACACCTTTCTACGTGGCTTAGACCAACTGTTGTGGATTTCATTGACTGATGCCAAGTTTTTGTTTGACCTCCGCTAGCTTTTTTCCAGCCTGACCCTATATCCGCTAACATAGCTCGTCGAGGGAGGCGATGGCTTGGCATACGTAACACATGTCCTAACCATCTCAGTCTTTGTAGCTTCACGACTTCGTCGATTGATTTCCCCTGTTTACCTAGAACTCGACGCCTAACCTCCATGTTGCTCACCTTATTATGCCACTTTACACGGGAAATAGAACGCAGGCACCTATGATCAAGGACAGCTAGTCTTTTCATGTCTTCCACTCTCAGTGGCCAGGTCTCACAACCATAAAGGAGGACGGAGCGGACTGATGAGCAGTACACCCGCCCTTTGGTCGATAGTCGAACATCTCGTCTACGCCAGAGTCGGCGTAAGCTAACAAATGCGAAACGAGCTCCTTATATTCGTGCTGAGATTTCGTCAGAGATCAGCCCGTTGGGGCTGATGGTACTTCCCAAGTAAGTGAAGCGGTCAACGTGCTCTACCACTTCACTCCCTATTTTTAAACTAGACGTCGATGTAGTCCAGTCCTGTAACATCATCTTGCATTTGGCGGGAGCGAATCGCATGCCAAACATTCGTAGATTGCTGCACAGCTCAAGGTGTTTAGAAGACTCTGCATTTCGTCAGCGTCTTCGCCTAGAAGGACTATATCGTCTGCATATTCCAAGTCAACGAGATTATTCCCCGGTAGCAAGTCAATCCCTGAGTCGCTGAAGTCACCTAGGGTTAAGTCCATTAACACATCTATGATGAAGTTGAATAGAAAAGGAGATAATGGGCATCCTTGACGGACACCACTGGTCGTCATCAGTTCAGATGACAGTTCGCCGTAAGCCCTCACCTGGCTGTATGAGTACGAGTAGAGTGCCTTAATCAGTGCAATATATTTTCTTGGAATTCCCTTTACAGCCAAGCATCTCCAGAGAAATTCCCGATCGACAGAGTCGAATGCTGCCTTTAGGTCAAGAAATATAATGACTGTTGGACGTTCATGGACAAATGACCTTCAAATAAACTGACTTCAATTTATGTAAAAAAATTTGACTATATATTTTGATGATTAATAAAATTCCGAATAAATTTGCTGAAGAGGCTGTGGCTTACACGGCGAAACGTTCAGAAAAATCTTGTTTTGATTTTCTTAACACGCTGGGATTAATTTAAATCATTTATAATGAAGGCGTCTTGAAATGCCCGAATAGAAATAAACTTCATGACTGTAATTTGCGTAATGGTGTTTTAACCAATGATTCACTGATAATCAAACTGTAAAAAAACTAAACTGGTCTTATGTCAAGTATGTGATGCAATAATCAGACTAATACCTTCTACACGACTGGAAGGCAGGCATTCATATTGACGAATACTTCTATAAAGTCGGGTACTGAATCTGAATATATTTGACACCAACGCTTGCATAGTACATCTGCCATCAATTGAGATACTTAATGAAATTTTGAACCAGTGTACAAAGTCAATAAAGGTTTTCTGTTTACACCCATGAATTACCTTAGCAACTGGTACCTAAGACTGTTACATCCACTACTTTCAGCTTTCCAATAATTGATTAATGCAGACGATTGATTGCAAAAAATTGATTCTGTTTACTCCCAGAAGTGAAAGCTGATATAAAACCAAAATCGAGTCATGAAAGTGTTGGTAAACGCCTCATAAACCAATAGCTTAATAATCTTAGATATATAAATGCTGACTGTCTTCAGACTATTTGACTGCTACTCAGCTTCGTAAGGGGTAACAAACTTATCATGCTAGTCGTCCTCCTCTCAAACGATTCTCTTATTGTTCTTAATCATAGGTATGAGGTAGAGATTCAGTTGGCATGTTCTTTTAAGTATTTTCGCTATAGCAATATTCCCATCCTATAACAATGTAAGAAAAATTTCTGGTGCTCATTAGGCATCTAGGCAGTGTCACTGTGCACTTTATGTTCTACAGTCTAGTAGATAATCCTAGATAAAAGGTACCTGAGGAATACTGTAACACTAGTATGTTCTGCCTATAAGATGCGAGATGATGTGAATACGTAAGTGTAACTTACATTGGCCATGTATTTGGATAGGATAATGGTCGTATCTGTCCTGTCCGGAGTTCATTAAGATAGTTAGCTTTTCCAAATACGACTAGACCAAGTGACGATGCTGCATCCCTGTTAGATTCCTCTGCCCAAGTTTTTCTAAGATTATCGATGTTGTTTCGCTTTTGGCATAATAACTCATGTGACATTCTATGAATAGGGGCCATTTTCATATCTTTTCGTACTTCAAATTGTATGAAAGGTCCACAGTCCGTACCAGCACCTGCAGTAGTCTCCTACAAATAATGAGTAAGTTAGAAAAAAATCAGACCTTCTTGTTATCTGATTTCACGAGAAATCCCAATAAGACTGCTCTCTGTTTTTCTTCCCTTTGAATTTTCAACTCTTCTTCCCTTTTCTTCTCTTGTTCCTTTTGCAATCTTTCTTCTTCTTTTTTGCGTTTTTCCTCCCTATCAATAAAATGAATGTAAGTGGGATTGAAAACACCAAAATATTTATCTGAATAAAAACGAAACATACTCTTTTTTCCTGCGTTCACATTCCTTTTCCTCTTCTTTTTTGCGCTGTTCTTCCTTCCGTTTCAGACGTTTTTCCTCTTTCTCGCGTTCTTCAGCCTCTTTCTTCTCCTGCTTTTCCCGCTGTTGCCTCTCCTAGCCAACAAAATGTATGAATTATCCAAAAAAATACCCTCTCCAAAATCTTTTGTTTTCTTTCCTGCTCCTTCTGATGCTGTTTTGCTAAGCGTTGACGTTCAAGTTCAGCACGTTTATGAGTCTTCTGATAATCAGAAACAGTACTTTTGGAGACTTTGGGACTAGACACCTTTATAACATAAGTATTTAAAAAGAGACTTTAAAAAACCACAATACAGAGATGAAATAAACTTCCAAAAGTAATCTATTCTTAAATACTTGGTAGTGAATTTCTTTATTTAGACATTGAGTGATGGGTTTGATTCGCAAATAGAGTATAACCTCCGTGAAGACTATATTCACCTTGCTGATGGTCAACAAAGCCAAGGGCTTACTGCTGAATGAGCCAAATTCTGGTCCTTTTTTGTAAAGCAAACTTATATTCCCAAACCGCCTTCTACTATGATTTACTAGAAAACAAAGCTAGGGTTTACTACTAAGGTGTAAGATATGCTGAAGACAAGACTCAGGTTATACACTTTAGGTACCTTAAAAAATTACCCCAGATGACAACGGACTGATTGGCGACAAAATATCAGCACGAATCCAAAAAGCTCCAGCTGCTTTCGCCGACTTACACCATCTCTGGCGTCGGCGTGACATCCGGTTATCAACCAAGGGACGTGTGTACTGCTCAGCAGTTCGCTCCGTCCTTCTCTATGGCTCTGAAACATGGCCAATACGCATTGAAGACATGAAAAGGTTGACTGCTTTCGATCATGGATGTCTGCGATCTCTGTCTCACGTTAGGTGGTTTAATAAGGTAATGTTGACGTTAGGCGTAGTGATGGACAAAGAGGGAAAATCAATCGACGAGGCTATAAAGTTACATAGACTAAGATGGCTAGGTCACGTGCTGTGCATGCCTAACCACCGCCTCCCCCGACGGGCATTACTGGCTGATATATGTGCAGGTTGGAGAAGAGTAAGTGGTGGCCAAACAAAAATATGGCATCAATCCATGAAATCCTTAACAGTTAAACTGAGTCAAGTAGGGAGATGCAGACTTCCGGGTTGGGGCCTTCGGGACTCTAGGAATCAATGGCTGGAGACAATTGGTGACATGGCTCAAAATCGTTGTTAATGGCGCAGATGTATTCAGTATCTGTAATCTTTCATATTTCTTTCTACCATTACCCATTCTGTTTCGCTCTTATGCTTGTCAAACTCCATTAATTCTCTCCAATCATCTTCTTGTCTACCTTTGTGTGCTATTTGGCACGTTGCAACTCGAAGTGCTGCACTTTGGTGCCAAGTTCTACGTTGAACCCAGACAGAGATAGACAGATGACAAAAAACATTCGCCTTGGTTTTGATTACTAGTTAATTTCTCTTAAGTATCAATTAAAACGTACTGTTGGAATGTAATTAAAAACAAGATATCACGAAAAGGTATTTCTGATAAGGTTACTTAACTTTGAAGCAACAATTAGCAAGGAGTTAAAATAACAAGACAAATTCTTAATCAAAGAATAGTAATCTAACAATTCTTAATTTTAACCTCACATATACCTTACTTTAAACCTGATATAAACAGGTCATAAATCTAATACTCAGTTTCTCTCGAACAATTGTAATCATTTGGATGAATACCTAAACTCCTTAGAGAAACAGGGAGTTACTCTTGTAATATTTCAAAGAAACTTATCCTGTCTAAAATTGTTACGCCTGGTTTATTTTGCCTTGTTACTTAAGAGGCATTCTTGTGAATCACTATTCTTTCAATTCCCTGAACAAGCTTTCGAAGAGGACCACGACTTACAAATCTGCGGATAAACATCAATGTCTCAAGTTCCTCAAATATCCCAAGGATGTCTGACAAGTAACCTGAACCTCAGAATGTGACGACGATCAAAATTCGTGCTCAGTTCTCCAAGGAAACCCGATGCAGGGGCGTGAATGGGACCTGATGACCTTACTCAAGGCTTTTCAAGGGGCTATCAGTTCGCCCAGCCAGCCCACTGACTATGATCTCCAACTTGTCTCTCCTGAACGGCGTATTACCGCGTAACTGGAAAGACACCATAGTAACCCCATCCACAAAGAAGGATCGAGGGTATTCCAAACTACAGGACTATAAGTCTTACTCGCAATTTAATCACGATACTGAAAAGAAGAATCAAGAAGGCTGTCATGGCATATCTGGAAAACAACAATAGCATGAGTTCCGGGGAAACGCCTCATGTCTAACAAACCTTACTGCGAGAGAAAACTAGGTTTAGTCAAGTGATAACAAACAATCCATTGACTTCGCTTTCAGAGACCTTAGATAAGCCTTCGGCAAAGTACCTGACACAATACTGCTCATGAAATCAAGAGAGGCTTCCTGCATTGGATTACAGAATTCCTCAGAGTCAGGACCAACTCAAAACTCTCTTCCTGGAATGCCACAAGGCACCGTACTCGAGTTACCTGTGTTCAGCGAACCCCTTATGGTGCTCTACGTAGACGATTTATAAATTTGGGCAGAGGTAAAGGACGATGCTGATATGATCACGTTATAAAGAGGTTGTCAGACTGGTCCAAAGAATCGATGCTCCTGACCAACGTAACAAGGTAAGCAACCATGCGCATTGCACAGGCACGCGTTAACTCCTACATCCTAAGAGGAATACTCATCAATTCAGATTCATCTGAAGCTAGGAGTCAAAATAAGTCATGACTTAAGTACTACAGCACATTGCTGCTCGATGGCAGCTCGTAATTATAGATCTTTATGGGCAAAACGCAGTGTTTACTAGAATCACCAGACACATGTTCACTTATATGCATTTCTTGTGAGGTCAAGACTGAAAACCTGCATCCAGGAAGCTAGTTCTTGTCTTACAGGGTACTCATACATTGTAAAAAGGGTTCAAAAGAAGGCGACACGTATGATTCTTGGCATGAACAGTTTATCAAAAATAAACGAGTAAGCAGTGAGAATATCTTCTGCTTATTGTACCATAGGGACGAGGGTTTCATCACAATTTTTAAAATTTTACACAATGATTACAGACCTGATGATGTATTTTCACTTATCCTTCCCAACGGCGTCGGAACACCCGATAAGACATAGCAGAAGACTTTGTATAAAATTTCTACTGTAGTCTGTTAGTACGCTCGAATAACAGTGTGATCAAGTGACACCCCTAGAGCTCTGGAATCAACAGAAGGCCTAAGTTTGAAGTCACGGTTGAGATAAATTGTGTTCCGTGAACTGCCTATAAGGTGACGTCGTTCCGACTCTTCAGCAGCTTTACTGCAGTCAGAGAAACCACATCGAGTAGGAAAATAGATTTCTGATGATAGCTACATGGATGAACCTGTATGGAGTGTTCGATAATTCAAAAAACGCCAACTCTACTTATGTCTAATAGCACAATTCAGTACACGTTTCATTCATTCAGCAAAATTATGCCCCAATTCATGTTTTGTTTTTTGACACAACGAACCATTTCCCATACATAAATGGATTTTAAAAGGTCAACGATCTGCTTTTTATTGCTACTGAACCTTAAGTGTGACATCTATTCTTTACAGATGCCCAACTGTGAATCCTAGGATGCACAAACACTAAATTCTACATTGAACTGTGAGTATTAAACATGGAAATGGGTCTTCGGGTTTTATCAACATAGAAAGACAATAGATAGCATGTTAATAAGTAATGCCTATACTTACAGTTTGACTCTGCTCCATAGCGGATACCCGCAAACTTTCCGCCAACCGCTAACTTGCTTACCAACACTACGTAAAAACAACAGCGAAAAAGCATTATTAGACGCAGTATCAATTAGCATGCAGAAATTCTACTGATTTTTGGTGCCGTTTAATCCACATTATTTGCCAAGTGTTTTGCTAATTTATTCGCCTTTCAACTGATTTAAGTTTTTTCAACAACTACACGGATAGTTTATTTTTTTATTTTATTTTTGATTACAGCTTGATTCCACACCTTATTTTTGGTACATGTATGGAATTTTCAGCGTGGATATCGGTAGCCCAAATTTCGCAGGCCGACCATAGATATCAGGTGTGCGTCGGCGTGGGCTCGAACCCCGGACCATGTGCATGGTCGGCGAGAGTCCTAACCACTGTGCCACCAACGCACAGAAACTGCATTCACTGGATGTGAACTGCAGTTCTTTGAGCTCTAGAATCCACTAACAATACTAACTGTACACTACTCCTTAACTTGGAAGGGAATATCCTGGCTCAAAATATCGTGGACAACGCACTCTATGGGCTTGCCCACAATTCCTCCTTGTCTCTGCTGATGAATAAGGCAGATGATATAAACAGTTTATCTATTCATTACCCTCTAATTATTAATGGCCCCGAATAGTGACGGTTTAACGTTATCCCTTGTAATTTGGACCGAATTTAACTTCAGGTTTACCCTTATGTTTGACGATTGAATATTAGGAAGGTCCCTCAACTCTGCACTGATCAGTTGATACAAACACTTGCATCGATAGCATGGGGAGCAGATTCAAAGACACACATTGGACGAATACCTCAAAATTTAGTTGGTTTGAGGCTCTCAGTTAGCCAAGGAATTGCTCCTTGAATAAACACACTGCTCACAACTGTCATCCTTAGGCCAAAATAAATTGAAACATTTCTCTATTCAATGAATGTATCCTGCCATTATTCAGCGTAACAAGAAATCCGCATAAAGCCTTGATTTTGCAGTCGGCATTATTTCGACAATCCTAGCTGCTGAAGACCTGAAAAGTTTCCTCGGTGAAAGTTTTCCAGAGTCTACAGTCTTATAAAGGAACTTCAGCTAGATGTATTGGGAGGACGATGGTCCATCTTTAGTAGATAGTCCCAGAAAATGATTTCGAGTCGGAACTTCTATCATCTAAGGAGGTGGGAACGGCAAACCTGCTTCTAAATATAATTCTGTATTCAATCCAGTGGCTATGATGAACTGGTAACCCGTACATTATCGAAATTAATGTAGACCACGGGCGAAGAACTGCCAGGACTATACATGCCAATGTAGTTGAAGACTGAACGATCAATTCATGGTTGTTTGCTCAAACTCAACTCTATATTTTTCGCGGGAGTCATCGATAGTGCAGTCATCATTTCATCGTTCGCTGTTCGTTGGAAGAGAGAAAACTATCAGAAGTATTCTTGCGATTTATTGTTATAACATTTATTCTTAGACCTTGTGTATAATAACCTTATTGTTGGTTACACATTGGCGTAAGAATAAAGGATCCTTGAGTCACCAAGTGCGTTCTGGTTTTTCATGTTAGTTATTACGCATAGTTTCTGAAAGTCTTCCAAGGACAGCGTGAGGTCCAGCGTAGTAAGAGCTGGACAATGACAGTTTCTGAGAGTTGGCTGACAACCCAGTTAGTTGATGGTCCTTAAAACCTGATTCATGTTTCGGTTTAAAAACTACCGTCTAGGAAATTACTCTTGGTTCTGTTATTCATTGTGTAAATAGTGATAAGCCTCTAGCCGAAGAACATCACCGTTTTAGAGTAAGTCATTCTCTTAAACAGAAAATAAGGCGAATGAAACGTACCTTAATAGACCGGTTGATGATACAGGTGTTGAATTTATCTTTTCATAAGGCCTACTAACAAGAGCTTCTATCAAATTCGGTTAGCTTCAGAACAAATTAAATGGCAACACACAAGATTCAATGCATTCTGACAGACAGAACACAGCAAAGAATGGTGTGCGTATCTTTTCCTTTCTTAATGAGCAGCTCGCATCGCAAGATTTTCTTTTTGCATGATAAAATCACAACTATAGAGCTGTTGTGCGTTTCACTAATATCAGCATGTGCTCCATTAACGGGTGCCACGCAAAAAGATTTGGGAGTGGCTCTCGTTATAATCAGAAAGCCATAGCTTACTGTGAAGAAGTGGGTACGCAGTCTTTTGGGATATTATATGCTCACCATCGGGCGCTTCGTAAGCTTTGACCACGAGGCATTTCGTATATTATATCTGACGAACACTAAAACTAGCTTGGAATACGGAACCAATTAGGAAGAACAATGTAAATAACCCTATCAGAAATTACTGCTGCAACCACAAAAGAACTCTCCAGAACTCAGAATCCTATTCGCGTATTCAGTGATCAACTCGGCCTCACTAAGACCTATGTCGAAAGACCAACAGAAAATAGATTCACTCATCAACCAGTGACACAGCAATATAGCGTGAATAAATATACGGTATTTCGATAATCTAGTTCAAAGCCAGTTACCAAAAAAAATGTCACAAATAGAAGTCAATATGGGATACATCAATACTTCCGATTTTGTCTCCGGTTTTCAGGCAGGAGCGAGCGGTAAAGTCATGGCATGGATCGTTGCACCCAAAGAAAATGAAACTGTGTTGAGAGCTGGCTGCAAGCCGAAAATTGTGGACAGCAATTGACGTCAATACCACGTCCCGAATCGGGGTCAAGAGAAAAACAATAACAGAGCTTAACCTTAAGGAACTCACTAACCAATCACAGAAGGCTTTAACGAGCGCAAATGGGATTCACAGATACATGGCTTAACATTCTGAGTAACGGTCACAAGCAGTACAGAATAACCCTCAGCGATAAAACGGCCAATCAGAAGACGTTGCTTCTCCGCTGACAATAATGTACATTAAAATCTATAAATGCGTCCTGATTTCCTCAATAAGGGAGCCGTCGCCTAACCCTCGTCTTCTTTCATTACGAAACTAGTTCAAATAAGCCACATCACTGGAACACCCACTCAGTCTTCAACGGCACTGACATTCGCACTGTACATCTGGAGCGAATATAGCAGAAAGGGTTCAAGGAGTGGGGATTAAACTGGCCAAGAGATTCCCGAATCTCCCATATAAATAAATAAATTTATTCTCATAGTACGGTGCGTGATGGGCGCCAGTTTACAGGCATCATCAAATTGTTACACAAATAGAACCTTATTATTCAGTCACAATTTACAGTCGATAGCAAAATATGTTTAACATGTACGCTCGAGATCATACATACACTTGATAAATGTTAATCCCAATAGTATAAAACAGCCTCTTCACTTATATACAATCATTATGGTGCACAGCTGGAAAAATCTGTTAGATTATCAGTGAGTGCAACACATCAGGAAATACAAAAGTATTATCTTCGCACTAACAAAAAAAACCAGGTCTTTGGCGGATGGGTTATAAGTGCATGGAAAAAAATAAGGCTTGAAGTCAATTTTCATACTTAATTTTGTTGAGGGAGATCTGTATACTGCATGAACCTTGGTATTATTACAAAAGTTGTATCAGACTGTAATTCATCAGTATGGGTTGGTGTCTGTCAGTTAAGTTACTGCCACATTCAATGGAATTTATTTATAAAGAAAATTGTGGTGCTAAATAATCAAAGTAAAATGTAGACGTTTTGAAGCTGAGGTATGTGTTCTTCGTGTTATTACGTTCTCCAAGCTAGGGAGGAACTTTGATGGTGAACTGTTTGAATATTTTTGGGCTACCACATTCCATGTACATTTTGCATCTATTTACTCGTATTTTATTGGTATTTACATATCACATTATGCATTCTAATCGTATTATCTACCCTCGGGATTTTATAAAACGTTTTAAACCCAAAAACTTTCATATTTGCAATAAACTCAAGAAAAAGCACCATGGAGGTTGGCAGCGTGCCTTAAAATCTACACCCATACATCACACCACTGTTCCAGTTATCATTAGTACCAACTGCCGGTCCCTGCCTAATAAAATTCTGGATTTTCAGTCTCTGTTGTCTTCTAGTACCTACCACAATACTGGTATTGTCACTCTGCAAGAAACCTGGCTCCATGACTCATACGATGACAATATTGTGTCTCTAAACAATTTCAATGTTTTTCGACAAGACCGTATTTGTTCCAAGAAAAAGTGTGGTGGAGGTGTTGCAACTTTTATTCACTCAAAATGGTCCATTTCAAACAAAGTTTGTTTCAAATTCTCGAATGACTTCATTGATTGCATCACTGTGAGATGTCGCCCGAAACACATTTCAAAATACAAATTCATTTATATTTCTAATGTTTATGTCTCTCCTGGCTGTACCATATTGGATTTATCTATGTTCGCCGATGAATTCACCGCTTTTGCTGCAGCTTGCTTCGAGAACTCTTTATCAATAGTAACTGGCGACTTCAATGGAGCGATTGCTCCTTCCTTATATCACTTGGTCATGACAATATTGTTAACTTTGCCACCCGTCTTGGTAAAAAACTGGATCTAGTATTTATCAATGATGTTGGTATATATGAAGCTCGCAAACGTGCTCCTCTACTTAATTCTGACCACTGCATCATACGTGTGCTGCCTAAAATATATTCCAAATCACACAAAGGTGTCCTCTCTCACCTCTACAGTAAAGTTCAACGGAGATGCTACTCAAAAGACAACCTAGACAAGCTCAGATGCATGTTGAAAGACACTAACTGGGACTTATTTACAGAACAAACATTAGATGAAACAATCACAAACACTACCGATTATCTTAAATTCTGTTTCGAAATATGTTGTCCTAAAGAAACATTATTCATCCGATTTGATCGCTTATCTTCGCCATATCTCAAAAAGCTACGTAGAAATAAAGAACTGTTGTTCAAAACTAATGATAAGCCTGGTGTAAAAAAGTTAAACATGCTGATAAAACTGGAAATAAAAAGACTAAGTGTTTTA